TCAGACAGAATTAAAAAAAAAAGAAGAAAAAAATTCAGGAAATCACATTGTATGATTTATAAAGAATTTGCCTTGCATTGCTGAACATAAGTATTTGAACACCTGAGAAAATCAGTGTTAATATTTGGTACAGAAGCCTTTGTTTGCAATTACAGAGGTCAAACGTTTCCTGTAGTTCTTTACCAGGTTTGCACACACTGCAACAGGGATTTTGGCCCACTCCTCCACACAGATCTCCTCTAGATCTGTCAGGTTTCAGGGCTGTCGCTGAGCAACACGGAGTTTCAGCTCCCTCCAAAGATGTTCTACTGGATTTAGGTCTGGAGACTAGCTAGACCACTCCAGAACCTTGATATGTTTCTTACGGAGCCACTCCTTGGTTATCCTGGCTGTGTGCTTCGGGTCGTTATGTTGGAAGACACAGCCATGACCCATCTTCAATGCTCTGACTGAGGGAAGGAGGTTGTTGCTCAAAATCTCACAATAAATGGCCCCATTCCTTAATACAGTGCAGTCGTCCTGTCCCCTTTGCAGAAAAGCACCCCCAAAGCATGATGTTACCAGCCCCATGCTTCACAGTAGGGATTGTGTCCTTGGGATGCAACTCATCCTTTTTCCTCCAAGCATGACGAAGTGAAGTTTAGACCAAAAAGTTCTACTTTGGTCTCATCTGACCACATGACTTTCTTCCATGCCTCCTCTGGATCATCCAGATGGTCATTGGCAAACTTCAGATGGGCCTGGACATGTGATGACTTCAGCAGGGGAACGTTCCGTGCAATGCATGATTTGAAACAATGACGGCGTAGTGTTCTACCGACAGTGACCTTTGAAACTGTGGTCCCAGCTCTCTTCATGTCATTGACCAGCTCCTCCCTTGTAGTTCTGGGCCGATTCCTCGCCTTTCTTATCATCAGTGATACCCCACGAGCTGAGATGTTGCATGGAGTCCCAGTCCGAGGGAGACTGACAGTCATCTTTAGCCTCTTCCATTTTCTAACAATTGCTCCAACAGTTGATGTATTTTCACCAAGCTGCTTGGCAATTGCTCCGTAGCCCTTTCCAGCCTTGTGGAGGTCCACAATTTTGTCTCTGATGTCTTTTGGCAGCTCTTTGGTCTTGCCCATGGTAGTAGTTGGCGTCTGACTGTGGGGTGGACAGGTGTCTTTAAAGAGCTCAGACAGTTGCTACTAAGTTAGATGAGTGGAATAGAGGTGGACTTTTTTAAAGGCACAGTAACAGGTCTTTGAGAGCCAGAATTCTTGCTGTTTCTTAGGTGTTCAAATGCTTATGTTCAGCAGTGCAAGACAAATAAATTCTTTAAAAATCATACAATGTGATTTCCTGAATTTTTTTTTTAATTCTGTCTGATTGGGAATGCACCTACAATGTGAATTTCAGACCCCTCCATAATTTCTAAGTGGGAGAACTTGCAAAATCGCAGAGTGTTCAAACACTTCTGTTCCTCACTGTAACTCTTACAATAGTTGGCATATCCCACATTTAAAAAAAGATTGAGCCAATTTTAACCTGCATGGGCAGTGTACCAGGAAGCCTTTTCTGTACATAAAAGAACATTACAGTAAGACTATTGAAATTAAACATATATAGCATCTCACAGGGAGTACACCCCTCACATTTTTGTAAATATTTAATCTTTTCATGTGACAAAACTGAAGAAATGACACTTTGCTACACTGTAAAGTAGTGAGTGTACAGCTTGTACAACAGTGTGAATTTGCTGTCCCCTCAAAATAACACACAGCCAATTAATATCTAAACCGCTGGCAACAAAAGGGAGTACACCCTTAAGTGAAAAATGTCAAAATTGGGACAAAGAGTCAATATTTTGTGTGGCCACCAGTATTTTCCAGCACTGCCTTAACCATCTTGGGCATGGGGTTCACCAGAGCTTCACAGGTTGTCAATGGAGTCCTCTTCTACTCCTCTATAATAACTTTACGAAGCTGGTGGATGTTGGAGACCTTCCGCTCCTCCACCTACCATTTGAGGATGTGCCACAGATGCTCAATAGGGTTTTTAGGTCTGGAGACATGCTTGGCCAGTCTATCACCTTTACACTCAGCTTCTTTAGCAAGGCAATGGTCGTCTTGGAGGTGTGTTTGGGGTCGTTATGTTGGAATACTGATCTGCGGCCTAGTCTCCGAAGGGAGGGGATCATGCTCTGCTTCAATATGTCACAGTACGTTGACATTCATGATTACCTCTTACTATAGCTCCCCAGTGCAGGAAGCACTCATGCAGCCCCAGACAGTGACACTCCCACCACCATGCTTGATTGTAGGCAAGACACACTTGTCTTTGTACTCCTCACCTGGATGCCACCACACACGCTTGACACCATCTGAACCAAATAAATTTATCTTGGCCTCATCAGAGATGGTTCTAATAATCCATGTTCTTAGTCTGCTTGTCTTCAGCAAATTGTATGCGGGCTTTCTTGTGCATCATCTTTAGAAGAGACTTCCTTCTGGGATAGCCATGCAGACAAATTTGATGCAGTGTGTGCGTATGGTATGAGCACTGACAGGCTGACCCCCCCTTCAACCTCTGCAGCATTGCTGGCAGCACTCATACATCTATTTCCCAAAGACAACCTCTGGATATGACGCTGAGCATGTGAACTCAACGTCTTTGGTCTACCATGGTTAGGCCTGTTCTGAGTGGAACCTGTCCTGTTAAACCGCTGTATGGTCTGGGCCACTATGCTGCAGCTCAGTTTCAGGGTTTTAGCAATCTTCTTATAGCCTAGGATATCTTTACGTAGAGCAACAATTTTTTTTTTTTTTTTCAGATCCTCAGAGTTCTTTGCCATGAGGTGCCATGTTGAACTTCCAGTGACCAGTATGAGAGAGTTCGAGAGAACACCAAATTTAAACACACTTGCTCCCCATTCACGCCTTTGACCTTGTAACACCAATGAGTCACATGACAGTGGAGGGAAAATGGCAAATTGGGCCCAATTTGGACATTTTCACTTAGGGGTGTACTCACTTTTGTTGCCAGCGGTTTAGACATTAATGGCTGTGTGTTGAGTTATTTTGAGGGAACAGCAAATTTACACTATTATACAAGCTGTACACTCACTACTTTACAATGTAGCAAAGTGTAATTTCTTCAGTGTTGTCACTTGAAAAGATATAAAAATATTTACAAAATGTGAGGGGTGTACTCACTTCTGTGAGATACTGTATATGTTTAATTTCAATCTGTAGTCTTGCTGTAATGTTCTTTATGTACAGAAAAGGCTTCCTGGTACACTGCCCATGCAGGTTAAATTGGCTCAATCTTTTTCTAAATGTGGGATATGCCAACTATTGTAAGAGTTACCTACATATCCCACAATTAAATATTGAGGTTCTTGAAGACTTCTTTTAACATCAAATGATCATTACTTGGGTTGATTTGCTGGGCCAGCCGGTCCTACACAAATTTATAGTCATTTGAAAAATACGCCACTTATAGATTTCTTCCTTACAGAGGAGAAGTAGATTTCAAATTGTTAGGTGATCTGTATAAATCCCTTTCCATAATCTTTTTTTAAAGGCATGTTGATACCACACGTCAAAAAAAGTCTACACTAGACTGTAGATATCATTGGTTTAAATAAGACAGGTTTCACCTTTATACTTCCAATGAAGGATCTAATCACATCTATTTTGCACCCAATCTGAAACAGACAATTTTAATTTTAAAGTGTTGATAAATATACAGGTATAATCACTTTTTAAATGTGACAAATATGCAATTTTGTTATTTTAAATTATAAGAATGAATACACAATGTCAATTTTGGGTATACTTTGTTCAAGTATATCACCTATACCTGTAGGTACTATCTGAATGAACATCTAAATGTTTGTTGTTTCAAATATGTGTAAAAAGTCAACAATTTCCATGGGGTATACAGTTGCAAGAAAAAGTATGTGAACCCCTTGGGATTATGTGGAGTTTTGCATGAATTGGGCATAAAATGTGCTCTGAACGTCATCTAAGTCACAACAATAGAAGAACACAGTCTGCTGAACATAATACTACACAAACATTAGATGTTGCCATGGTTTAATTGCACATAACATGTAAACATTCACAGTGCAGGGAGGAAAAAGTATGTGAGGCCCTAGCTTAAGGACTTCTCCCAGAGCTAATTGGAGCCAGGAGTGAGCCAACCTTGACTCCAATCAGTGTGATGATATTGGATGTGTTGCTGACAGCTGTCCTGCCCTTAAAAAACACACACCTGTTTTGGGTTTACTGGTTTCAAGAAGCACTGTCTGATGTGAACCATGCCTCGCAGAAAAGAGCTCTCAGAAGACCTACGATCAAGAATTGTTGACTTGCATGAAGCTGGAAAGGGTTACAAAAGCCTTGATGTTCATGTGTCCACGGTAAGACAGACTGTCTACAAATAGAGAAAGTTTAGCACGGTTGCTACTCTCCCTAGGCGTGGTCGTCCTGTAAAAATGACTGCAAGAGCACAGCGCAGAATGCAGCACGAGGTAAAGAAGAATCCCAGAGTGTCAGCTAAAGACCTACAGAAATCTCTGGCACATGCTAACATTTTTGTTGACACATCTACAATAAGGAAATCATTAACCACTTGCCTACCAGGCACTTATACCCCCTTATTTACCAGGCCACAAATAGAGCTTTCTTTTGGTGGTATTTAATCGCCACTGGGCGCTTTACTTTTTGCGCTATAAATAAAAAAATTGCAAAAAATTAGAAAAAAAAAAGTTTCTTTGTTTCTATTATAAAATTTTTCAAACAGGTAATTTTTCTCCTTCACTGATGTGCTTTGATGAGGCAGCACTGATGGGCACTGATAGGCGGCACTGATAGGCAGCACTAAAGGGCACCGATAGGCAGTACTAATGAGGTGGCACGGATAGCCGGCACTAATATGCAGCACTGATAGGCGGCACTGATAGGTGACACTAATGATGGGTACTGATAGACGGCACTGACTGGCATCACTGCTGGGCACTGACTGGCAGCACTGACTGGCACAACAGCTGGGCACTGACTGGTGGCACTGGTGGGCAGCACTGCTGGGCGGCACTGGTGGGCGGCACTGGTGGGTGGGCACAGGTGGGTGGCACAGGTAGGTGGCACTTCTGGGCACAGGTGTGTGAAATTGCAGAGTGGCACAGGTGGGTGCACTGCTGGGCACAGGTGGGCGGAGCTAGTGGGCGCACTGCAGGGCACAGGTGGGCGGAACTTGCGGGTGGCACTGCTGGGCACCGATCATCAGGGCACTGATCATCAGTGCCCTGATGATCGGTGCCGATCCCCGCTCTGACAACTGCCGGTTCTCGGCAGTACTTTCCTCATGATCTGACAGCGTGAGGAAAGTGCAGCCGAGAACCGGCACTTGCATTTCCCTCTGATCAGCGTGTCATTGGACACCGCTGATCAGGTGGTAAAAAGCCGCTGTGATTGGCCTTTTACCACATCACGTGATCAGCTGTGTCCGTAGGACACAGCGATCACGGAGATCGCCGGCTGCGCGCCCCCTGGGGCGCGCAGGAGAGCGCGTTCTGGGGGGACGTCATATGACGTCCACTCAGAACTGCCCGGCCGCAGTGCAGCCGTAATTCGGCTATCTGCGGTTGGCAACAAGTTAAACAAGAATGGAGTACATGGGAGGACACCACGGAGGAAGCCATAGCTGTCCAAAAAGAATATTGCAGCACGTTTGAAGTTTGCAAAAGAGCACCTGGATGTTCCACAGCACTGCTGGCAAAATATACTGTGGACAGATGAAACCAAGATTGAGTTGTTTGGGAAGAACACACAACACTATGTGTGGAGAAAAAAAAAAAGGCACAGCACACCAACATCAAAACCTCATCCCCACTGTAAAACATGGCGGAGGGAGCATCATGGTTTGGGGCTGCTTTGCTGCCTCAGGGCCTGGATGGATTGTTGTCATTGATGGGAAAATGAATTCCAAGACATTTTGCAGGAAAACGTACGACCATCTGTCCTCCAACTGAAGCTCCGCAGAGGATGGGTGATGCAACAGGACAATGACCCAAAGCATACAAGTACCGTATTTTCTGGCGTATAAGACGACCCCCTACTTTTCCTGTTAAAATATGGGGTTTGAGCTATACTCGCCGTATAAGACTACCCCTCTTCAAACGCACACCAAATAAAAATGAAAAAACATCAGATTTGATTTCAATATGGTATGCTATTTCAGTATGGTATTCCAATATTAATAATAATATAATAATATTCCAACACCAATGATGGGGCGCAATTCCTGCCACTGACACCAATGATGGGGTGCAATTCCTCCCACTGACACTGATGGGGTGCAATTCCTCCCACTGACACTAATGATGGGACACTATTCCTCCCACTGACACCAATGATGGGACACTATTCCTCCCACTGACACAATGATGGGACACTATTCCTCCCACTGACACCAATGATGGGGCACTATTCCTCCCACTGACACCAATGATGGGGCAGGATTCTTCCCACTGACACCAATGATGGGGCACTATTCCTCACACACTGACACTAATGATGGGGCACCATCATTGGTGTCAGTGGGAGGAATAGTGTCCCATCATTGGTATCAGTGGGAGGAATAGTGCCTCATCATTGGTGTCAGTGGGAGGAATAGCACCCCATCATTGGTGTCAGTGGCAGGAATTGCGCCCCATCATTGGTGTCAATGGCAGGAATTGCGCCCCATCATTGGTGTCAGTGGGGAGAATAGTGCCCCATCATTGGTGTCAGAGTGGGGAGGAGGAATAGTGCCCCATCATTGGTATCAGTGGGAGGAATAGTGCCCCATCATTGGTGTCAGTGGGGAGGAGGAATAGTGCCCCAGCATTGGTGTCAGTGGGGAGAATAGTGCCCCATCATTGGTGTCAGTGGGGAGGAGGAATAGTGCCCCATCATTGGTGTCAGTGGGGAGGAGGAATAGTGCCCCATCATTGGTATCAGTGGGGAGAACAGTGCCTCATCGTTGGTGTCAGTGTGGAGGAGGAATAGTGCCCCATCGTTCGTGTCAGTGGGGGAGAGGAGCGGCTGCTCCTTCTTCCAGTTCGGAAGCTCGATTTTCGCAGGGCCGCTCGGCTCCGCCTCCTCGCCGGTGATTGGTCGCCTGTGTGCCTTTCCAGTGCTGGCGCCCAATCACCGGTGAGGAGGCGGAGCCGAGCAGCCGCGTGACCATCGAGCGGTCGAACTGAAAGAAGGAGCAGCCGCGCTTCCTGGACCGGATCGTCGTGGGACCGGAGCCAGGTAAGGTACAGCAGCCCCTCTGCCCATCCCTGTACTTAGTGACCGTTGGAGGAGGAGGGGGGGCAGCGCCGCGCCGCCCCTCGAAAAAGTGCCGCCCTGACACCGGCTCGCACCGGCGTATAAGACGACCCCCGACTTTTCAGAAGATTTTCAGGGGTTGAAAAGTCGTCTTATACGCCGGAAAATACGGTAATTCAACAAAACAATGGCTGCAACAGCACAGAATACGCCTTGTGGAATGGCCCAGTCAGAGTCCTGACCTCAACCCGATTGAAATGCTGTGGCATGACCTTAAGAGAGCGATTCACACCAGACATCCCAAGAATATTGCTACACTGAAACAGTTTTGTGAAGAGGAATGGTCCAAAATTACTCCAGATCGTTGTGCAGGTCTGATCTGCAACTACAGTAAACGTTTGGTTGAGGTTATTGCTGCCAAAGGAGGGTCAACCAGTTATTAAGTCCAACGGTTCACATACTTTTTCCTCACTGTAATGTGAATGTTTACATGTTATGTGCAATTAAACCATGGCAACATCTAATGTTTATAAACCATATAAATGCTGCGCTACATTCAAAAATAAAAGTGAATGTGGAATCCAATGACATAAATCAATATAGTGACAATAAAAAACCATATAAATGCTGCGCTATATTCAAACTAATTAAAGTGAATGTGGAATTAAATAACTTAAATAAAACAATAGCAATAATAATAAATATAATAAAAAATTGTGCTTAGTGATAACACAAAAATAATGGCAAAACACAAACTAAAATCAATACGCATGTGCATAAAAATGCACATACATATATTACACGTGCAAAATGTGAAGTGAGGTCAATCTAAATAATACACACAAAACTCAAAATCCAATAATGGAATATTAAGGTGAAAAAAGTCCAATAATGGAATATTAAAGGTGAAGAAATTTTGGTTTTGGTAAACTGTGTTTCCAATATGCTGTAAGGTGACCACAGGTGAAACAAAACGTGCAGGTATCTGGGTGTAGATAACTTGTGAATCCAACCACCTTCTGGATTAGCCTCTCACCTCATCACTTCGACCCTTGCGGGTCACAGAGCAGTATGGATCTCTCTCACAGATCCTCCAGGCACCACAGCACTCCAAAACCACTTCTCAGGATACAATATTCCCACTCAGCTCTTCTCCAAGTGTAGATGAAATATCACTTTCCCAGAATAAAACAAATGGATCCTCCCATAGTGTAGTAAGTTTATTATACCATTGGAACATCACATGTATAATAAAAAAGCACTCACGTAGCAGCCAGTCCACATTAAACCCTCATGCTCTCAAATGAGGATATGTGTATGTAAGTTGGGTGTACAGCTGAGTCCACAGGTGTACCAAGATGGCCGCCACGCGGTGACATTTCCGGCGTGGCGGCCATCTTGGTACACCTGTGGACTCAGCTGTACACCCAACTTACATACACATATCCTCATTTGAGAGCATGAGGGTTTAATGTGGACTGGCTGCTACGTGAGTGCTTTTTTATTATACATGTGATGTTCCAATGGTATAATAAACTTACTACACTATGGGAGGATCCATTTGTTTTATTCTGGGAAAGTGATATTTCATCTACACTTGGAGAAGAGCTGAGTGGGAATATTGTATCCTGAGAAGTGGTTTTGGAGTGCTGTGGTGCCTGGAGGATCTGTGAGAGAGATCCATACTGCTCTGTGACCCGCAAGGGTCGAAGTGATGAGGTGAGAGGCTAATCCAGAAGGTGGTTGGATTCACAAGTTATCTACACCCAGATACCTGCACGTTTTGTTTCACCTGTGGTCACCTTACAGCATATTGGAAACACAGTTTACCAAAACCAAAATTTCTTCACCTTTAATATTCCATTATTGGACTTTTTTCACCTTAATATTCCATTATTGGATTTTGAGTTTTGTGTGTATTATTTAGATTGACCTCACTTCACATTTTGCACGTGTAATATATGTATGTGCATTTTTATGCACATGCGTATTGATTTTAGTTTGTGTTTTGCCATTATTTTTGTGTTATCACTAAGCACAATTTTTTATTATATTTATTATTATTGCTATTGTTTTATTTAAGTTATTTAATTCCACATTCACTTTAATTAGTTTGAATATAGCGCAGCATTTATATGGTTTTTTATTGTCACTATATTGATTTATGTCATTGGATTCCACATTCACTTTTATTTTTGAATGTAGCGCAGCATTTATATGGTTTATATTCACTTGATCACTGGTATATGATTTAATGCTAGCAGCTGTTTGGGGTTCATTTATTTTATTTGATAATTGTTTAAACACATTATTTGGAGCGCAGGAGGGTCACACCACTATTGCTAACATCTAATGTTTGTGTAGTATTACATTCAGCAGACTGTGTTCTTCTATTGTTGTGACTTAGATGACGTTCAGAGCACATTTTATGCCCAATTCAGGCAAAACTCCATGTAATCCCAAGGGGTTCACATACTTTTTCTTGCAACTGTATATGTCATGTGACTGTTTTTGAATCAAAAAGTTGCACACAAAAAAAATCCTGGAGTTCACTTACCAGTAACTCAAGTTCCTGAAGTCTTTCAAGACAACACCTAAGAGATGGGCACCTCCCTCCTTCAAAAACACTAACAGAAAGTGCTTCTGTCAAACCTGGGGAAAAGCCAGCAGGAATGTTTGCTTATTGCCAACAGAAGGGCATCACACCAGCCCAGGCCCTGCCGGTCCACCACAGGGGCAAGCCAGTATTGGCCTTTCACACGTACTGAAAAAGTGGGCCCAGGCATCTGCCTATCTGTAAAAGAGAAGAGATTGGGAGCCAAGGATGGACAAGAATCACACCATCAAAGGGTGAGAGCAAAAAGGAGGGTGGGTGGAAGACTGCAGACAACGCGTACAAGAATCCTGAATGGATGACAATTCCATCAGGTACCAAATGATGCATCTCCTCTGAACGTAGGAAAAACAGTAACTGTCCAGTAATGTTTTACATTGGAGGAGATGCATAAATCTCATGGGCTGTCCTGTAAGACTATCAAGAAACAATATTAGAATAGTAAATTAGGAGAGACTATTAACAATAATGAATCAGTGAAG